AAAGACAGATTGTCAAAGACAGATTGTCAAAGACAGATTGTCAAAGACAGATTGTCAAAGACAGATTGTCAAAGACAGATTGTCAAAGACAGATTATTGGGCGGTATGGCTAGGTCACTGTCGAAGATCTTTGCACATTTTGTGGCGGGCTCATTTCAGACCGCACTTGTGACGACTTCGGTGTTCAAAAGGACTTCTTAAGCAAGCTGGTTTGTTGCGGCCCTCACCTTTATCCCACCTGCTGTCTTCCCACAGATGTCGAAATAACAATATCTGTGCCCACTCCTGTATCTGACTTCACTGTGCCTGCAACGTTCCGTGGAAACACCGGCGTCTTGCTTGAGTCTCGCTACGACGATCGGCGTCGTGCACAGGAACCCCGGAGCCAGTGGTATTGGTACTCGCCTCGCGGCCTTGTTCAGCCTGACACACTACAAATCCAAATATTTTACTCCTCTTCGGGTTCTATGTGTATAGCACCAACAACTGATCGTGTGCGACGACCTTACCCTCATACTCGTCCAACCAACATATCGCCACACGCCCATCGTGGATATCTGGACCTTACTCAAGGCCCACGACGAAGACGAAAGCCAGTCCGTCAGTTCGCTTGCTTCAATGTCTCGGTCCGACTCAGTGCCATCGAGCGTGGCTACCAGCGTGGCTCCTTTGCCACAGCAGCCGCGCTCGGCGGTCACTGCGAAAAGATTGTCGACAAGCCAGGACCATCCAGTTCAGTCTCCTGCGAAGAAGCAGTCTAAATGGTCCCCGGAAGAAGACACAAAAATCATTCACCTTCGCCACGATGGGATGAAGTGGGAGGATATCAGCAAGCACCTGCCCGGTCGTAGTGCGATCAGCTGCAGATTGCACTATCAGAATTACCTAGAGAGGAGAAGTGAATAGGACGAGGATCGCAAGAATAAGCTCGCAAGGCTGTACGAGAGGTATGTTGAGAAACGTCGCACCAGATCGTGGAACCCAAGTTGTACTCTCGTTTAGCCATCGCCATCGAATGTTAACGGGCAACGAACTGACGTTGCCTCCCACTAGATTCCGTGCAGAGATGTGGTTGAAAGTGGCAGAAGAGATGGCCATGCCCTGGAGAGCGGTCGAGGCAATGCACTGGCAGATGGGAGAACACGAGATGGCGAAGCGTGCCGGAGTGAGTCCTTTCTCCCTCAGCAATCCTAACGGCACATACGAGCCGATGTCTCTGTCTCTGCCTCCGCGCGGAGGACAACTTCGCCCCATCGGGCATTCTCTTCGGGCGCGGCGTGAGTCAATACCTCTCGAGGAGTCGTATGCGGGCTCTCCGTAGCTGCCGTCCCTTGCGGAACTCACCGCAGGACTGCCAGGGTTCTCTTCTCCTCCTTACCACACTAGCGACCCTTTCCACCATGTGTACAACAACTCAAAAGACCACAACTCTCCTTTTCGGTGATATATCCGGCAGTTTCGGATTTGAGCGAGCATTATCAAATAAATAGCAGGCGGGCGTAACGACAGAGTTCGTTGTTCATGTTTATCTTATATCCAATTAGGCATACCTTTACTACGAGACGATTAACGAAGAGTCTATAATATCGTAACAAGTAGACAAGCGCCGCTAGAGAAGCGACATAAGCGTAGATGCGTATGAGAATGCAAACGGTCCTCTCAAGCCAATTCGGGAAAGCTAGGACTTTGCTTCTGGCCCCTACTATCGGTAGTCCATATTCCGTTCCGGGTCTGAACCCCTCCCCAAAGCTGTCAATCCCCGAGATGCCTTTTCTTCACATCCATGTTCATGGCTCGATGGATACCGGAATGCTTAGCGCAGAGCATGCCGATACTCTGAGTATCCAAGGACTCTCGCGCATTGGCTCAGGCACAGGCAGAGACCAGGTTTGCGACCGGTGGACTTGAAACGGCGCGAAATATTGTCAAAGTCGACTCCTTTCCTACGCCTACGAAGTATGGTTGAATCGACGAGAGACATTGGCGACTAGAAGTGACTGCAAACACAGATATCATTATGCGAAGCAATGCTAACCTCGTCAACCCTATCGCTCGTCAACTACCCAGAATCCTCAAAGCCGTCACCGACGCTTGTTGCCATCCGAACGATACGTAAAGACATTGAGATCAGCACAGTAGAGAACCGGCCGCCCACCCTGCTCGCAATACGTCCATTCCGAATCTGCTACAAAGATTGACTTACCCTGGTGCTGTACACACCAACCAGCCTCATTCTTATAGCGCATCCGCTTCGAGCTGACCTCAGTCATGGGACGCGACTGACAACGTCGTCCTGAGTCATGTGTGCTTTGAGATTGCCTGGATGGCTCAGGAGGGTTTTCCTTGGAGGATTTGTCTGCACTGCGCCGTGTGTGAATAGTCGGCTGCCTCGATGTGGTTTCTTCCATGGATGGCTGTCTACCATGTCTGGATGTCGACATGGTGGTCCTCGGAGAGTTCAAGGGTGCTCTGCTAATAGCCATAGTGCTTTCAAAAGAAGCCATGCGTCCCTCTCGTCTGGTTGCAGATTTGTAGCCTGCGGGTGACGCCGCAGTTGGTCTCAGGCGTTTGACTGGCGTCACCTCATCGCGAGCCAGCTCGTCTTCAGAGGTGTCCGATCCGGCCACAGAGACCATCGAACGGGATGTGCGGCTGGTCGTGCAGCTTGTGTTGGGGCTGGGGGCAGGCATTCGGCGGGCCACCTGGTTGGCATGAGCAATGGAGCTGTCCCGCTCTGTCTTTGCTAGATCTCGATCATTGCGGTAGGCAGTAGCCCCTTCCCGGAAACTATTGGCATTTCCTGTCATTGCATATGAGTTCGTTTGAGTCATGTGATACTCTGGCTCCCCTCCAGGAGTGGAAGGCGCGGTAATGTGCGTCGCGTAGGTCCGAAGATAGCCATCTTGGTACGTTGCGCTAAAACTTCGTGCCTTGTTATCATATTGTGGCTCTTCAGCCTTGTAGTTCTGGAGTTGGTGCATGGCTCGAGCTCCTATAGCTCCATCAATCAGGACCTGTCGCTTTGCCACATCCGCACGTCCTTGAGCGCTTTTGCCCTCGACGAAGAAGTTCGGAGCAGCCGGACGAGTCGTGTCGGCTGTCGATGGAATGATATAAGGTCCCAAGTCAGCACGGACGCGCGGATGAATAGTTGCTGGCGGCGCACCATGATAGACGTCGGGCATGGGGTCGCTGAGATCTTTGTCGAACGGCGTCAGGTTGCTCAATGGCAAACCCATCTCGAAACGATGGCCCGCCTCATTTCCGGTGATGAAAGGGAGTACATTATACATTCCAGTAGTCTCGCCTTTTGCTCTTGCATTTGCCCGCTTGAAAGCCTTGAAGTGTTCCTCTTTGAATCGGGAAGGTGACAGAGATGCCCGAGCGACGCGTTGTGCGGCTTGGATATCGCTCAAATTCGCAGGCTCAGGTGTTAGACGTCCATCCGCGTATTCATATTCGTCGGGGTAGATGCCAATGTCGATCAATTTTTGCTCAAAATTGCCGCTATACGGGGTGGTCTTAGTAGAGGTGGTCTTGGTATAGTCGCTCGGCCTCGAGGAGGCGGAAGACCGTTTCCCGCTTGAGGAACTGGTATAACCACTCATTCTGTCAAGGATCAGAGGTAAGCTGGCAAGCTGTCACAAGATCCAGTCAGTCTCCAAGGCCTGCGTCGGCATAGGAAATACGTACCCCTCGAAGGTGGGATAGATCAGGCCCACCACGTCGAGCAAATCTCTTGAGCCGTAGGGGACCACGCCCTGTGGGATATTCGACCTTCTGTGCGAGTGTGCCAGAAGACTGAATCGTCTCTTCAATGTTCCTGCGGTCAAACTCCCGGAGAGCGCCGCGACTCAATCGAATTTTGGACAACGTGTCCCAGAAGCTGGGAGGACGCCGGCGAGGGAGGTCACGGCTTGCCGAAAGAGGCTTCTGTTTCTTTGCTACCGGCTCCGGCTCAAGATCCCCAGGCTCTGGTGAGGACCGTTGTCGCTTTTTCGACTTAGGTTCTTCGAGGGCGAACATGAGTGAAGAGAGGAAGGCTCGGTAGTAAAGGTGTTAGGAGGTGGCCTCCAACAAGGACACGATATAGCGCCGCAGGTTGGGCACGTCTGCATGTTGAGAGGCGAGGTGTGGCAGGTTATCGATGCAGCACTTCGCATCCAGTCAATGGATTGTGTCGTATTCGTATGTCTGCGTTGGACAGGAAGTTGACACATGATTTCAAGCCTCCGGCGGTAAGGAATGCTTGATTGGATCAGAGGCCGTGGAGAGGTATTAGCGTGTTAGGGCCCATCCTGCACGGTTCTGGGGGGTGATGCGGAGTAATTAGGCAACCATGGCCAAAGTTGACGTGGTTTGACAGAAGGTGTAGCGAGCCGCCGAAGATTAAACCACCATGAGAATCGATGTCGATGAAGGATCAACAACCACAGCCATGGACAATTTTGTGCGGTGTGTGCAAAATATAGCCATCGGCGGCAGGTATCACTTAGTGCGAAAATTGGGATGTGGTTCTTTTGGCAGTGTCTATCTAGGTATGGCCGTCTGCAAGTCGCCCTTGGCTTGACACAAGATCTCACATTTCAACAGGCCGTGATACCGAGACAGGAAACGAAGTCGCCATGAAATTCGAACATCACAGTGTTGCGCCGTCTCTACTTGAAGAAGAAGCGCGAATCTATCAATCTCTGGCCGGAAAACCGGGCTTTCCTCAGGTGTACTGGCACGGACAGCAAGATGACTTCACGGCTTTGGTTTTTGAGCTGCTCGGGCCGAACTTGGAAGACTTATTCCGATATTGTGGCAACCAATTCTCGTTGAAGACGACGCTGATGCTCGCCGACCAATTGCTTCGTCGATTTGAGACTCTTCATTCAAACCAATACCTTCATCGGGATATCAAGCCTGAAAATTTTCTCATTGGTACGGGTGAGCAAGGGAATATCGTCTACATGACCGACTTGGGGCTTGCAATCTACCGCCGTCCCGATTACTGGGCTCCGGGTAGTACTCCTACTCGTGATATAACAGCACGGCCTCCTCAACTATTAGGCACATGCAGGTATGCAAGCATTCGAGGGCATCTAGGCATTGGTAGGTGACGCGTCAACTCCTGGACAAGATGGCCAGCTCATCTTGCTCGCAGCACAATCCCGGCGCGATGACTTGGAGGCACTAGGGTATATGCTCGTGTATTTCATACGCGGAAGACTCCCTTGGCAAGGCCTCAAGGCGAAACGGGACGCCAAATACCTGCTGGTTTTGGGGAAGAAGCAGGGAACCAGTGCACACGACCTTTGTGCCGGTCTACCCGCCGAGTTTGAGGAATACATAAATTATGTCCGCAACTTGCGTGATGAGGATCAGCCGGACTATCCGCACCTTCGGAACATGTTCAAGAAGCTGTTTCGCCGACAAGGGTTCGAATACGACAACGTCTTTGACTGGACAATCCGAGAATTCCTGAGGCTGGAACGAGGCCATGACCATATCCAATGACACCAAGCTCTCATCCACTAGATTGCATACGTAAAAAGTATTCCAGTCGAGGGCGTATCATTTTTCTGTGATTTCGAGTCCAGGACCAACATTTTGATATTGGCATAGAACCGCAAATCGTTAGTGTCCAATGTCATTCGACTCAAGGCTAGTTGGCTGTGCTGAATTTGGTCAAGTGGAGCTCGCCTACGGCTCAAGAGACTTGCTCGACGTGGTGGGCCTGATCTATCATATCTTCGGAGGGGTACGTCTTTTCTATGCCAACGTGGGCAAGAGCTTGTGACAGCTTGCCAACTTATCTCCTTCGATCGTCGAAAGCATGGCAAGTTATCAAAGCCGGAAACGGTCTTCAGCCTCATCGGGGCGGAAGATATGGTTCATGGGGCAGCACGTTCAGCGAATATTCTTTCAGGCGAAGACTCCGAAATGGCTCCCGTTCACATCGGTATATTTCACCGTCCAAGGCATTCATCTCACACCTTCTCCTTAAGTTCAACATCAACCTCTTCGACCTCTTCTTCGCGCTTCGTGTCGAGCTTATGATTGACCTCGCTGACAGCAACGTCTCCACCTTCGAATGTTACTTTCCTCAAGTGTATGACGGCAAGTTACCGGCAGGAAGAAATAGATGATGAAGAACATGATGGCGTTGATGATGCAGAAGACGATGTAATATTTCCAGCCGATTTTTGCCATAACGTTGTAAAAGCAGGCATTGACATCCCCAGGGAGATGAATATGTTTTTGCACGTTTTTAGAAGGCTTCGGAAATTTGGGCTTGAAATATCATATTCCGGTATTTGTGAATTAGACTAGTACTGTAGCTTGGGGATGTACACTAGTATTGGTTGCAAAAGAAGGAAACAGGACCATGATCGGTGAGCTCTCATCGTAACCTCCGCTTGCCGGCTCACAGTCGACTGGATCACTTTCCTGTCGCTACTGTAGAACTCTTCTTGCCACTGTTAATTGATTCAAGCCTCTGCTATTGGGGATTAAAGGGGCCTGGCCAGTATAACGGCACAAGAGTAGTCCATTCGAAGCATCTTTGGCTATGACTAGCCATAGAGCATCGTCTGGAAGCTTGGGAGTCTGCCTATATCCCCATCACACACTCGCTTACAATTTGGACACTTGTGCTCAGAGTCCTCGAATTCCGTTATCTTTAGGAGACACTGTCGGCAAAAGCAATGTCCTGGCTCGATCAGAATATCAACAGTTGAAATATGAACGAAGTCTTACCACATGGAATTCGAACACGGTCATCCGACCCGTCGAAATTGCCCGAATCGCCGAAGTCCTCATACTTTTCGGCTGCGGATATCAGACAAACCGTGCAATCCAACCCGAAGAGCTCCCTTGTTTTCTGCCGGCCGAGCGTGAAGTGATTATGTCGAGGACAACAGAGCTTTGGCCCAATACGAGGACGAGTACGAATCTCGTCCGGGTAGCCTCCTAATGTACAATCGCCGCATATAACCTACGACAAATCAGTGTCCTCGGTAAGAAATCCAGATGTCACATAACCTTACGCATCCGCAAGCTGGAAAAGCAAAGATACGCGATACGTAGCCATTCCCTTGGCCGAGGACGCCCAGACAGATCGCACAGTGTTCGGTCTCGACTGTCAGATCAAGGACAAATTGCCGCACGGGTGGAAAATGGTCGGTGTCTTTCTGTTTCACGCGTCCACCAATGTCCGCTTCTCTCCCCAGACAGTTGGTATCTATGCCTGCGTACTCAGCGATAGACTTAGCCTCTCCAGACGCTCTCGCAGTAGACCTGACTCAGGGAAGGAATTGATAACCTACGAGGGACGCCGGACACACTCTGACTCTGGATCTTTGCGGATCGCGCGGTCTTCCATTGATGACGCTTCTTTCGTCCTCTATGACGACCTTGGTGCTTTAAATGCTGGGAGTGCTGGGCGTGCGGTGCCATTTGGGAATGGGAAGAAGAGTGGAAGGGCTTTTGGCTCCGTCCGGGAAGTTGTCAATATGGTGGTCTTATGTCTTCCCAGCCTACGTCCAGACCCCCCCTCCCCCGCGGGCTCACAACGTTCGTCCGTCGGCTGAAGGAGGTCTAGAGGCCTGCCAGAGTTTCACCAATCCAAGACCACGACCGAGAAAGGCAAAGAGGGGCGTCCCGAGAAGTGCCGCTTGGGCTGACCCTAGCATTCCTCTGTGAAGACACAAAGAAACTTCACAGCAGGCTTCGTGTCTGCCTTGCCTGATTCCACTCCCCAAGACCGTGTAACCCGCACAGTCTATCTGGTCTTATTGGCGAGTCGAAGATGCAGGCTTCTTTTCCACCGTGTTGACATGAACAAACCGCACAGAGAGACGCATCGGCATTGTTCAGCTTCCGACTTCCCATCGAGTCTCTACACCTTGTACTGAATTATGCCAACAGGCGGAGATGCGAGAGGACTGCCTTCGACGATCAGTGGCTCAGAAAGGTTCTGCGTACTCCTATTGGTGGTCTAATGTTCGCTTGATTGTGCATTAGTCCATTTTTTGACAGGGTATACTTTCAGAAGGTCTAGTTGCCTGCTGAAGAACCATGGGCAAAAACAATTTAGCGATTCTACTCGGCCTTACTCCGTACACCCCCACACTAGGTTACCACTGCTTGCCACGCTTCTCAAGGTTACCCCCTGACGCCTGCTCTTGGCGCAGAGCGGTGTGTCCACCTCAACCGTTCCGAGAGAATAAGCCAGGGCTGAATACCTCACTTGACCACCTACGAAAGATCCTACCCGTCGCCGTTAAGACGTTTACATGTGATCACTGTCCGTGCATCGTGGTGCGAATAATTGCCATACAGCAGGTTCAGTCTGTCCATAACCGAACCATGGTCGTGTGGGCTAAGCAAACCATCAATAATGCCTGAGGCTTCTATGCCATGCTTCATGCAGTGTGCAATGGCCATGCAAGGCAGTTCATCCGTCAGGAAAACCTCAATTTCGTAATATTCAGGTTTATCTGACAGGTTCCTTAGGGACTAATCAATCTTGGACAAGATAATACAGGCGCCGACATCCGCAAGAGTTGTCCGCTCTGATCGAAGACTCGGAGCAAATTCAGGTCGAGTACACTGAGGCAGCCAACAAAGGGTCCACTGCTGCGGGTGCAGCAACTGATGAGGTTGAATGTCACTACGTATGCTTCATAAAAGCAACAAGCTCTGAGCTCTGGCTTCTAGATGGAGAGCAAGATGGACCACTCTCTTGCGACGAAAGCTGTGGAGCAGAGGCTGATGTGTTGGAGAGTCCGAGTCGAGGTCACATTCACAAGTTCATTGATGAACATGGAAAGAACGCTTCGAACAGTTTTGCGATGATGGCTTTGATTCAATCAAAGCTGTTTACGAAATAGCATTCTTGGAAAAAGTTACGATCCCCCGAGAGATCAATTGCGCTTTCGCCTGATGCAGTCAGTGCTCCGTATTCAACATGCGCAACTCTCTGCAACTCCCGAATCGCAAGGTGGTTCTTCCAGGATGCGGCAACATGTAACGGTGTCCAGCCCTCGTGATCTACACCATTTGGATCTGCGCCAGCCCGCAAGAGAACACCAATAACAGCGAGGGAATTGTGTTGAGGATCGATGCGACTCGAGCCTGCAATAGCGAGATGGAGTAGAGGCAATTCACCCTGGGACGAAGGTCGCGACTGTCTTGGGTTCGCTCCACAGAGAATCAGCTGCTGTGCAGCTTCCGCAAATCCATACTCGGTGGCCCATGCCAGAGCGGATCTTCCCCGTGAGTCCTTCTTGTCAATGTCGGCCAGATCTACGGTGGGATGCGAAAGATATGCCTCTAGACTTTCGAACTCTAGATCAATCCCTAATAGCGCTCGGTGGACTTGGCCAAAGCCTTGTTTCTCGAGATACTGGTGCAGGAGGGCATTGGCATCCTCTGTTGCGAGCAATGCAGTTCGACATAAGTATTCGCCGATATTTCTTTTCTCTTCGTTCATCGGCCTAGATATCAATATGCCATCAATCATGTTCTGGAGGGCGGTGCTAGAAGTTTCCCTGTCAGCAAACCATATCGAAAGGGGAATCACCGCTTACCTGCCGATCTCATCTTCGTCCTCTAGTCGTGCTCCAAGTTCTACCAAACGTTGCAAGATTTCCATAGCCTTCGGGAGCCCCCGATTTTTGCGACAGTAATAGGCAGCATACTGCAAATAGTGAGTCGAATGAAGGACATCAAGATAGGAAAACCTCACATATGCGACACCCAGGCCATAGGGATCAACGTCTGACGTCGATGCTCCTCCAGACTTTATCAAGTCTGTAGCCAACTCTGTCTCGCCTTCGTAAATCATTGTGAACAAAGGCCAGGTATAGGGTCTCTCTTGTTTCAGGCTTGTTTGGTGATTAAAGTCAAGCTCGAGTGAGAGCCCATAACCCTGGCATGAGCCCGAGGCTTGCTGTTCGTGACGGATGGGTGCTTCGCTTGTCGTTGGGACGCGGGAACATTCGGTCCACGAAGGTCCTGTCACCGTCAGTTTGGGCATCGGACGCATAGACGCACATCGCTGGGGGAACCCGCACCGGAGCCAACAGTGTCGTGGGCCACCAAGTTCATTCGTTCACAATACTGTTCGGTCACGTTGTCCTCCTCTGTCCGAAAAGGTAAATGCAACAACCGAGTTGATGTTTCGCTTGAATAGGGGTTGACCAGGGATTTCAGCGGCACCGTTGGCAGTTCTGTTCCGTAAACCCTGCTCACATCCTTCACCCTTAATTGATACTTCACCGAGACTATTGGGTCAGCGCTGTGGATAAATGTGGCGGCTTCCTCCAACACACGGAACTTCCAGTCTCTTTCTCCAAAGTGCGAAGCAAATATCAATGTCTCTGCAACTGCATTTTCATCGCAACCATCTAGTAGATGTCGTGCACTGTGGATATTGCTCAAAAATGTGTCGAGGAGAGGCGGCTGCATGCGGCCGACATCACGAAATCTGTCTACGTCAGTTCGTGCAGTCGCGTTTGTGCCGGGAATACCCACAGCGGCTCTAGATCATATTCCTCCTCAAGTAACGTATGACATATGACTTTGATTGCCCAACGTTGCCAGACTTCCTTGTCCCACGCCGACTCCCTTAGCCAATCTTCCGTAAGATCAGACAGGGACCAGGCGCGTGATGAACCGTTGGGCCAGACACTCGAAAAGTCATCCAGACATTCTTTTAGAACCGATATGCTGGAATCCAGACGTATCTCATCAAATATCTCTTCAACGGTGGCATCGAAGCTCGATGGAGGGAGAACCTCTCCACCCTTCTTATCCCTTCGTTTGACAGGCTTATAGCCACGTTGTAGGACTATGTCCGGGATACCTTTTGCCCCTAAAGAAAATAAGAGCTTTAGTAGGTTTGCCGCCAGAAAGTTGAGGTCATGGTACGCCGGCAAGTTCTTGAGCATTTCACACGTCGTAGTCACAATGGTGTTTGGTATCGATAGTCGCTTAAGTGCGTCTTGGTCTGGACAACCGTGTTCAGAACGTTTACATGGAGTGAAGATCCGAAAGACAACAGAGTGGCCTTCGATATTAGAAAACATCAGCCTATAGATATAACGCTGGAAATAGCGGTCGAATGCCCTTCCGCAATTTTCGAACAGACTGGCATGCTTGGAGAAGAATGTTCGGATAACTGGAGAGTCCGTTTCGCATTGGCTCCATAGGCCGAGGTTGACTGTCGCAAGAAATACGGAGAAACCCCAGTGTTTATTGGGAGAGCATAAAGATATCAGCTTCGTTGCCCAACGCAGATGCTTTCGTCCCTGTTCATAGCCGACGTGATAGTGTTCCTCGATAAATGGGGCCGTGGCAAATCTCTTGCCGAATCGCGGGTGCTCAAATTTGTACACTTCGAAGTCTGCGTGTAGAATCCGGAGACCAGCAAAGGCCGCTATCCTCTCCTTTGGTGAGGTTGTGTCCAGGCGTGCCACGTCGTCCGAGACACTATTGATTGTCGACGGCATTTCCAGGTGATTGGCAAGCAGTGTGATCTCGCTAATCCGCTCGCTCAGTTCATCCACCAGCTTGGTAGCTTTGGAAACCAGTTCCGTGGGTTGAGTCTCTTCTCTGCTCCGTTTCCGGCTGCAGGAGGGTTCGTCTTGTGGCCATGCTTCAGTGAGCCTCGATAAGGTATTCCTCAATAGCTCCCGATTTCCATACTGTTGCAAGGTCGCGAGAGGTGTTTGCAAGATCAAATTGAATGCTGCGTCGAGCTGGTCTGCCATTGGGATAGGTGTAGAGGATGGAAGAAGGCAATCACCACGTTCGCCCTTATTATAACGACCGTTCACTGGGACCTTAGGCCCCGCCCTGGCCTACGCAGACTAACCCGATTCTCTGGACGCTGCCGTGGGCGGGGCCGTGAAAACAGCGGAGCCCCCCATAGTTCGCGAATCCTAGCCGCATCCTATTTACAGGACGCAGACAGAAGAACTTTGTCTGCCGATGTTACCCCCACTCTCGCCAACAGAGCCTGCAATTTATGGTGGCTTTCCGAGGGTCGAGATTTTAAACGTGTCCTTCGGTGTGCGGCTATATAGATTTCCTGGAGCATAGTGCTGCTAGTGGAGGAGGCTCCAGCATTGGAGGCGGCAATGGTGAATCTGGGGACCAAGACAACTCTCAGAACGGCGCTTCGCAATCAACCACCAAGGGAGACAATTCATGTTCCTGAAAGGACCGATGGTGTTCCTCAGACCCACGCGTGAGCAGTCAGGAGCGAAGGAGAGTAGGGGATAAGTGAGAGGGTTTGTGGGAAACCATGCTCGTCTCGAGAGAACTCTTGCTGACATCCCCGTTCCGTGTTCCTCTTATATCAACATGTGGTCATGCAACCATGAAGACGAAGGTTGAGCTTCGACACGAATGGTCTGGAAGATAACAATTTTTCTGCTTCGGATTATATCCAAGAAGAATGGATCTAATTGAGACGGCTATCATATCCTTTCTCATTCTCTGGTTTGGCCACATCGTTATTGTCGGTTTTCTGGTGTGGCTGTCAGATTATTTGAAACGCAGAAGCGAGTTGTAATCGGCTTTTGAAAGGGCCGCCAGAAAGATCGCATATCTGTACGAGCCATCCGCGAGACGTGTAAATATCCTCATCTTCCGCTCGATCCAGAAGATGCCTAGCACAAGGTCATCCTCATCTTTTCTAACACAGTGGACCTAGCCAGTCAATCTCGTTTCGTCAACAGTCACGAGCGAGCCACTTTTCCCATCACCGAGTCAGAGGCTCAACGTTGAAACAACGTTGAAAAACGTTCTACATCAATAGTTGAAGACTTCCGAGACAGTTCACTTACTCGGGGAAGTCGTTCGAGCGCCAAAACACCGCACGTCCAACAGTCCAGTCATGATGTCCACAGACCTGATTGAAAAGGACAAAGCGATGGACACACCAATCGACCGGGCTGCGTCCGGTATTGTCTTGGACAAGGACGGAATCAAGGACATTGAAGCCACCTGGACCCGACAGAGCCAAGTTGGGCAATCGGCCCGTCTGCGGTCGTCCTGTTTGTCGGAGGCACTGCAGAGAGAACCGGGGACCAAGCAGATGGTGGATAGAAAAATCGTTCGACAGCAAATGTTGGACGAACTAGACGATCGCACAAAGAAGGACATACTGACGGACAAACACTCTGGAAAGCCGCGTGTCGTCGAGGGCGGTTTGTACTTGACGTCGACCTTGGTGACGCCTAAAGAGGAAGCGAAGCTGCGAAGAATAGCATCGACGAGAACTATTCATCCAGAAAAGCTGCAACATATACCAGAACATACATGGTAAAGTTTGGCTGCGGCGAGACGCCCTCCCTAACACTGGTCGTTGCACGATCATAGCACTACCTAAATAGCTCGGAACACCGCAAAGGGCCTAAGCGCCTTTTATGTTAACTATGGTGTACGTCCTACCGTGTGAAGAGCATCATCCGCAAATGTTAGCTGAGATCACCTATGTGCCAAAATATTTTTGCACTCTCCCAGCGACATGGGCTGCGCGAACCAGACAAGTTGAGCTCTTATTTCTAGTTCTCTACATTATTAGAAATTATCAAAAACAAGCCTACACAGATAGAGGAGGCTTATAATTAGTGCTTAAGTAGACGCTACGCAAGATATAATGTAGTCCTAGGAAGTGCGCAGCGATAACACTAAGGACTGTATCTTCGGGGTAGCGAAAGAACAGGCAAGGTTCACGGTTTGTTGCAACACCCAACATTATTTTAAGTTAATCAGTCAACCGGAATACTTTCATTATTTAATCCCTCAATAGAAGGGAGGCCTATTGTAAACCATCGAACTACATAATGGAATAGCGCCTCCATGACCTTAACAGTTATCATTCTATCGACGCATTGATAGTGAGCGATTGATCGGAATTTATCAGAGAGTGACAGCGAACCTCAGGCCAAGTTGCTCCTCAAGCACCTCCCTCGACTGAAAGAGTAATCGCCATCCTCGTGGCAGATCTTTTCAATCCAGAGAGATTCCGAGCTCTCAGATCTCTTAGCATGTTTTGTAGGAGCGCCTGTTCGTTGACAGCTTGGAAAACGTTTCGAACTGGACCAGCGGAGAACTGTCTCCACAAGCTTCGATAAGTTTGAGAGGTTGAGTCGGGTCTGTTGATAACTGGCTGCATTGGATGATCTCGTCGTTGGGCTGCTGTCAGGAGAGCAATCGATGTTTCTTGGATATTCTTCACGATAGGGTTCGAGTTTTCGATAAACAATTGAATGTCACGGATCTTGTCTTCATCGTCAAAGTTGTGCATCGCACCAATGGTTATGGCGAGTTGATTAAAATTCTGGGGAGGAGCCATCCCCATGGCTAACGGAGGATGAACAGAGGAAACGAATTGAAGAGATAGGGGAGGCAAAGGACGTAGTTTCTTTATGTAGTTTAGCAGGTGCCCCGGCTCATGCTTACCAAAAGAGAATGCTGCATATTTCCGGACAAAATGCGATACTTTCCACTAGAAGACTTGACGGTGGCCTAGCCCTTACGCTCCGATACAACGAATTTCGATCCTCGAGAGACCAGGGCACACGCTGTGCCACATCCTCAGACGTGCATTTGTAGCTCAGCACGCTTGACGGAGGAACCACCACCTCATCCTACCGGTCTCTCTCCCATTTTACTTTCCCGTTAACCGAAGACCGCTTTACCAAATTGAGATCATCATTCAGGTCCACGGACCGGCTCGCCCCGAAGGACATCATTTTGGGAAAGACTGAGCGATGAAGCGATTGAAATAGATGATTCAAAGGAGAAAAGTTCGGATGTACAGGGGAGCTTTGCATGCCGCGGCCTCGTCTGCACCCGCGGACAGTAAGGCGCTCTCTCATTTCCACAGCTCGAGAGCTTACTCAAACAACAAAAGATCCTCCAGGAAGATTATCGGTCTGGGGAAGAGGACAAGTGGGCGTGGGCTTACTGCGGCGAGTGCAATAGACACGGCCTTTGGATCGGGTCTGCAAATGACCATAGATTAGTGGCAGGAGGGTGTCCCCCTCCCTCTAGTGTGGGCAAAATAAGCGGTATACAATTTTGGCAACAAGCATCAGCCAATGTTCTGTGCTCGCACAATTTATCCCCAGGCAGCTTTGCTTATCCAAACCTACTTTCAATCTCCTTTCAAATAACACATCACTTGAAACCGGAGCTCAAATGGACGGAATTCTCGAGAATACTTCGTACCTGGTGTTGTTCTAAGAGTATATGTTGAATGTTATACTCTATCACTCAGAACCGCAGTCGCAGCCTTCCGGCAATCTTCCTTCCCGGGCCATACGTTCTTTCAAGTCGCCATAGAGTGTTTCATCTGTTGCAGGGAATCCGAGGAGTGTTTAGACTCTCAAAGAATGCACTTCTCGTGCACTGAACGCTTTATGTCCTCAACTTGTTTATGATGTAGAACCTACTGGGTGGTCAGTCAAACTCTTTCTGGCCTTGCATTAAGCTAATTTTGATCCTGAGGTGTCAATGTTCGGTCATCCCAGAACTGCCAGATAAGCTCTCATGTCACACCGCCGCAGAAACATTCATTCGCAGCCTCCAAGAAGAAACCGATGAAGCTGGTGATCATCCTCAGGTTGTTTCCGTCTCACCGGCTTGTGAGAAGCAAAGCCTGGCAAGACTCAAACATCTAAGCCTCTACCAGGGCTTTCCGGGAGATCCTGAGCAGAAAAGTATCTGTTAACTAGTGTCCGACTTTGTGAATTATGTATCTGATGATCTGGATGCGAGAGCTACACTACTTAAGCCTAGTGTAGAGGCAAAGCTCCCTCGAGCACGTTTTCTCGAAGACCTTAGATGGCAAGTGCCGAAATGGGAAAATGAGAGCGTCTCCAACTTCGTTGAAAAGCTCGAGATCTGGCAAAATCTCCTGCTTTAGGGGCCTCGCCGCTACATTTGATTTCTTGTTAGGTGCCATTTTTAATTTGGGTCCAAGTCTTCCCGTAATACTTGGTGACCGTGAATTTCTAGGCAACGGCAGAACACGAATACACCGAACGCGGAAGGGCAGAGCCTCTCTCGTGTGTGCTGTCGTTGATGGAATCATTTCGTCTTGGAAAAAGCATGCATATGTGCTATTCCATCCATTGGTAGGTGAGGCGTACATCCCATTACCAGGCATTTCTCTCAGGATCATCCCCTCCGCGATCTTGCACAGGAAGAACGCACAATTTTCTTGAGTATGGTCATCAGCAAGGAAGAAGCCCTATAGGGTTTGACATATCATAGTATGCTGTGTACTATTGCCTCAAAAATGTGGGCCTGGAAACAGCGTTGCACATGTTTAGGGCTTTGCTGGACTGTGGCGCCTTGTTAGACGTCATAGACGAAATCGGCAAGTACGTTTGAGAATCTCCCTGGATGATTGATGTTAATCTGGATAAATCCTCAGCTCTGCCATCGAGACATTGATTGACGGCATTCTGGTGACAAGGGCGATGGATGGAAGAAGTGGCGATATCCTGGACTGGTTACAGCCGCCATGCTGTTGAAACAAGTATGCTTTGGCAAGACTACTCTGAAACTCGAGGTTTCTCCCAATTCCACAAAGTGCTACTCCAGATTGACGATGAATATTGCAGCCTCGAGGCACACCTGAATGATGTCCCTCGAGAACCATTGACGTCGACGTGCAGGACTCACCGGGAAGATCAGCCCTGGCTTGGGCAGCTGAGTACAGCTGGACGGAAGCTGCAAGCTTGTTGATCATGCACGGGGCTAACCCGAAACAGTCCAGACCATCACGCCATGGAGATCTTCCACTTCTTCATTTAGCACTCGCAGGTGCAAATAGGACGGATGGTGGCCCAAGGTCGATTAGCATTATCAAACTTCTTGTGGAGGCTGGGGTGGATCCTAATTGCCGGGATCATGAAGGTTGGACGGCCTTTTATGTTACGGCTTTATAGAACAAATATTACGCAGTCAGGAAATTACAGGAAGTTATGATGATTGACTACAGTGCTACAACGTGGACGGGAGAGAATGCAGTTGATCTATCGGGAGATCGAATGTTCTTCGAGCGTTGCCTGAGTGTCGATTTAAACTAAGTTTGGACCAGTGCCATCATTGCAAAATTGTTCGAACTTGCACTACCGTGCTCGACGAGGAAACGTTGGATGGTTTCCCGATTCGGACTGTCCAGGACGTCCCCCTCTACTCCACAATCTTCGTTGCAAGCCAGCGGACCATCTCTGTCGCCGTCCAAAAGCCATAACCGAGAATTCGTGGCTTTTGTGAAACATACGTAGTGATATTCGACTTCATCGGTAGGGGCACCGGGCGACGTTGACCCTTTTACAGCCACGTTTGCATACTGGGCCTGGATCTGGTCGGAGGTTTCGATTATGTTTGCTACATCCGGCCTAGATTCGTTAGAAGCGCTTGCTATGATATCAAACACTGATCCACTTTCTGAGAAGGGTCATTAGACTGAAGCCTTTATCGACCGTAGGTCACTCAACTAATAAAGTCTTTGGCGGTGCCGTTACAGACTGCATGCAGGGCAGCGTAGAATCCACAAGCATTGTTGATCGTCTGCTTCGCCCATATAACTCTGCTTCGCTCCTCACTTGTGAGACTGTGTTCCCCGAAGCCTGTAATAGTAGATTTGGCGACGTCATCATCAGGAAAGATAACAATGACAGCTAGAACGGGCCGGGGAAGATAGATGAGGGTGTCGACATCGAAGGAGTAGATTTCGACGAATTCTAGCTTCTCCTCAACACCCAGAACGTGAATCAACTCGGAGAAAATGGCTGGATCTGATTCGAGAGGAGTGAAATGTTTGGTATACATTTTCTTAGATCAACTTAAGAGATAAGGTCGATTTAGGTTGTCGATATAGAGAGGAGTTCGACAATTCTAGCGGCGTCGCTAATTCTCATGTCGGATGCCTATTTTCCGTCATGTGATTAGACGATTCCACACGTGGCTAGGCGGGGCTTAGGCCCATCCAACCTCGAAATTGGGGTCGCGATACTCGTTGTTCGTCAAGATCGGGGAAGCGAGTACAGTGACTCAACCAGCCTCAATCCAGTCCCCGGTGATATGGCTGAGACGGATGCTTCAGGACTGCCGTTATGGGGAAACAAAATCCGTTACGAATATTTCGAAGTCACCGAGGAGAGGGAAGGCCCGTTGTCATGTAGAAGTCCATGCCACGTGATTTCCTAGTGTATTTCAAAATGTAAGTCACGTGACAGGCTGTGGTTGTGCCTGTGATTATAAGTATTGCTACGGTCGATTAGAGTACCAGAAGGTATTCTAATCGGGATCTTTTTGGCCCGCACGTACTCTTGGCGCAACCGTAGCGCGCAAGAATCACATGCCCGCCCCATACTAAGCTACGCTTAACTAGGCTCGATTAAACTTATGTGATTACATACTATCGAGCGGCCAGTCCTTCGCTTTGATACCACGAGCTACGGCACTACACCGACATAGTAACGAAGAGGGTCGCCGTTGAAAGGAAGCTGCTTAGTCATTCAGAATTGAGTACGGCTCCTTGGCCTACGTGATGGCTCGACATCAAGTCAAGTAAATGAGAAAAAGTTGATTGCTAAGGCGATATCCACGTACGACCCTTAGACGTGCGGATTTACTAGGTACAATCTTAAAGGAAACCTCTTCAACACAGCAGTACCGTTGAAGTTTCGAAGTACGCTCACGGGAGGTCGTTTTGACTTAGAGGGAATTTGTTCGAATTGTTGGAAGACCCGAAGCATGTGCCGCGGCACGTTACAGACGCATGATGATTAAGTGATCACGGTACGACCCGGAGACGTGGTAGACTATAAAGTTGTTCTGTAAGAGTTCGAGAAAGCCGCAATCGCGAGAAGGAAGTCCTCATCAGTATTGAGGCAGGCGCGGCTATTGAAGACGACATTACAAGCCAAACAAGCTGAACTCGAACATGAACGACAGCGACCGAACCTTCGAGAAACTGCCGACTCGACATCAATCGAAAGAAGCTTAGACAACAGAGTTGCAGATTGCGATACTGAAAAGATGACCACAAATCGCTACGCCTGTGGAGAACTGGCCGATGAGCTGGATGTTGCGCGAAAGGAATTGGAAAGGCTCGATCATCTTCGGTGCAACATCTGCATGGCGACGTTCAAAAGTGCCACGCCCATGTGGTCACAGTGCATGTAGAGAATGCTTGAGCTAATGGCTCGGCCATAAGTCAGGCTTGCCGTGGTGCAGGCAAAGTTTTGAAGCTGATGATATTCGCGATATCTACCTTGGATCTGCCAGTGAGACTCGGGATGTCCCTGAGAGTGATGCTGACGTTACGGATATTATCTCACTGGCTAGCGACAGTGCATAGGAACCCGTAGGATCGAGAGCCACAAGATGTAGGGTCACTGCCACGGAAGGCCCCAGGTTGCGTAGATGTGGTTTGGCGTATTCTAAGTCTGCCCTGTAACCAGTCCTGAATAAGGCCAGTCCCCATCCGGTCACACACCGGTCGAACATGGCTCAGCTTGTCTGCCGTGCAGGGATTCCGTTAGCGCTTTTATTGGTCAACTTGGGAGTCGTATGATGAGTAGGCTGACCATGACGAGCCCACCAGGACAGGTCTTCAGGCAGACCGCAATCAATAGCCAAGCATGCCACTCCCTGCACAACCAATACGTACTTGTACATAATGAAGTACCCTGTGCCTGTTGTTAAACACATCGCTTTGGCAGTTCTTCGTTGGCCACCATGTCACTGCAGTTTCTCGACATCTGTCAGCTTTTCGAGCAGCTGTCGTCCCTGAAAGATCTCGAAAGCCGTGAATTAAGCGTTCAACAATGGTTTGTATCAGTTTGATGCATTTTGCCAAAAGTATGCTGAATAAGCCCCCCATGTTGGCCTTTCGGCTCGCTCACCACGACGTCTCCAAGTCTGATGTCGTTTTCGATGGTAGGGATTGCTCCACCGATACCAACAAGTAGTCCAACCTTGATTTGGCGAAAAGTACGCAGCATATCCTTTGTGACAGCGGCTGCCGCACTTATGCCCGTCTGCGTTGAAGGCAAGCATGCCATGACAACGTTGTGGTTTCCAATGCGTCCAAAAGAGTATGCATTGTTGTCATTTTCCTTGGACGGTAAATCGTCGTGAACCTCATCGCGCATCAGTTCGGCGGCGGCCAATTCCAAGGGCAACGCGCAAATCCATCCCACTTTATAGTCCTTGTAGGTTCGCTATGGAGGGCGATGAGGTCGATTTGGAAGGGAACCTGCGCCCTCGCTGCAATACATCAAGTTAGACTGGCGAGAAATGGCGGACAGTGAGCGGGAATAAAGATCGGACTTGCCTGTTTAGACTGTCCATGTTGTGGGATACCAAGACAAGTACTCCACTGTTCGTGGATGTCAAATTTCTCCACCGTAGCGTCACGATCTGAAAGCAACAGGGTATCTCGTTAGTATCAAAGTACGCAACCAGTAAACAGTGAACGTGATTTTGGATGGAGGAAGACCCGCAGCGCTTTGAGAGTCAAGGTATGTTGGAATTGGCGAGCCTCCCAGCTGGAAGGGAGTTCGAGAGACCGCAGCTGAAGTTCAGCAACCTTGGCAGAACAAGAGCAGCTAGACCAAATACGGAATCGCGAGCCAAACTGTCCTTCGCATGGCTAGCGACCCCAGTCCCACTCGTAAATGACAGAACGCGCATTTTCCACCGTGCAGCACACACCCGATTAAGACTCTTAAATCGGTCATCGAGGATGCCATGGTCCCAGCTCTGCCGTAACCAGCATCAGTGGCACGTGGCATTTACGTATTCCTGTTGCGACAGCGATATGTGTATGTAGGTAGCGAAACTCCCACAAATTCCAGGTCCTGACGCTGCAACTCAATCATTGCCTTGTTGAGCTTGCAGACTAAGGACGCGGCAGCTAGCCCAGATGCCCGAGGCGGACCATGACGTAAATTTGCCGCTCTGGCCTCTTGACAGAGCCCCCGGCTACGCCCCGCACACATCTTCTTGCTGGATCTGGATTCGTTTGAACACCACTTCACCTTAACCAGTTTAGAAGAACCGACGTAATTGACCCTTACACTCCGGTTGTTTGAATGTACTGTTCATCGGCCCTCGACGACTGCGATAGCCTCAACTATCATGTCGAGCAGTACCTCAGAGTACGCGATCTCGTATTCTACGAGTAGCACAGGCTCGGAGTCTCTTCTGTACACTAAGATCTGTAACGGTCCTTAACTTGTGCTTCAGATCGTTTCCAAGCACCATGATCTTCACGGCCTCCGGCACGGTTGTCCACCAGTCTTTGGCGGCTAGAACCCCAAAGGGTACTCTTCAACTTCTTTCGCTACTGTCAGGCTGTGATTGGCGAATCCGCAAGGGCATGCACTTTGTGCATACGCTAATTCCGTATATCGCAAAGAGTAGAAGCACCCAATGCGACTCCATGGGAAGCTCAACCGGAGTTTGACGATGCAAAGACCCTGCACCAGCATCTCTCTCTCAGGAAAATCAACCGATGAGATTGTCCACCGCTCCAATCAAGCACCGAGTATGGGTATGGATGTCTCTCAACTCTAAGAGGGCTGCCCCAACAGACTGGAATTTACGGGGTACTGGCTGTGTGAGGATCAGCTTACTTTATTGCTCATTTTGACTCAGGAGGCCGCAAAATACCCGAAAGAAAAGGCTCGGCACGAAACTGTGCGGTGTGCGGAAGTGTCAGTATGGAGGTGTGCCTTGAAAAAGAACTGGTGTCAGCTTGTTCGACTCAAGGGGGAAGTTGGAGGTACGAGGGTGAAACACACCTTCTAATTGGTCAACCAGCGCCATGCCCATTAGATCAGTCACGGCCAGTGGTCCCGCGGGGAGCCAGAGCCTATGAGCCGACTCAGACGCCTCATATCATCAGAAAACTGTCCAAGACCTCTCAATCGAGATAACGCTGCAGCTTGTTCCAATAACTTGACACCTTGACGCCATACCAGCAAGAAACCCTTATCTCTTGTTTAATACGCCAGTCCTTTCTCCATCCAGCCCCCGTTATTATGTCAAAATCCTGCTCCATATCGGTACCTGCTAGTATTGCAATCATATTCTCAAATCTTTCTTGCTAATAGATTGAAGAATTTCGACCTGCACTGGTCCCTTTCGTACCTCCCGTCGATGTGAGAGCAGTTCAGCGTCGTATATAGTGAACTTTGAACCTAACCGGGCGCAGCTCGTTTCGCGTCGTAAAATGATGCTGCCCTTCCGCCATATTTGGCCACAATTGGGAGGTGGGATGGCTTTCCCTAGCATTTTCGAAGCATCCAAGCAATGTCACCAGAGTTAGAGATGGAAGAGAGGTAGCTGGCGCTCGCCTTGTGCAAATCCAAAACAAAATGATTATCCCAGGCGGCACTGATGCAGAGGTTAGCCAAAGTGTCCCATGTCCAAACATCAACAAACGCTCACCTGGAATTCTTCTTTCATTTATTTTCGGATTCCGGTGGTTGACAGCTCGGTGCTTCCAAGACTTCAGCATCGCCAGCAAATTCTGACAATAGCAGAGGGATTGCAATCCAGGCTGAACATTGGCATGCCTCATGAGTCCATTTTGCGCACTAAGGTCTAGTGTCTAGCTATCAGCGGCAACAAGACTTTGTTTGAGCGTGATTGTGCTTGCCATTGCGCATCACGTGCACAATTCTCCTAGTGACATTTCTGGGAGGAGTAACTGTCGGAGAGAAGATGCATACGGTCAGATCCGTGACCACTGGGTGGGCCACGGTCGTTGTATAGGGAGTGTACGACGTCGCCGTTTTGGAGGGGAAACGAGTCATTCGGATAAAGACGACAGATATTTGCCCGCAGCAGA